CGTCCTAATTCGCTCTTTTCATTCCTAGCTGGTCTAGCATTACAAAGCTTTCTCCGTTTTAATGAGTCATGCCCCTGTTAAGGCCACGGGGTGGCTTCTCTTTGCACACCCTGCAGCAGTGGACGTGTGTTTTTGTAAACATGGCTGTTTTGAAGAAAACATCTGGAAGAGGAGCCAATTCCTCTGTTCTAGGGCTTGCAATTCCGTTTTTTGTTTGTTTGTTTGTTTGTTCGTTTGTTTTTGAGAGGTGCGACATTGCTTTTCCTGGAAGGGTGCACAATTTATGTTACCAATCCTACTTAAAAGCGCCCATTCCCCACACCTTTGCCCATCTCTTTTTCTTTGATTTTTATTTATCAGAGGGATAGTGATTCATTGTTTGAATTTGTTTTGTGGAGTTACTAAGACGACTGAACATCTTGTCATAATTTTATTTTCCACTTTTATATCTTCTCTTGTGAAATCTCTGAAGCGATAGTCAAAACACTGGAGATGATCATTACCTCTGTGGAAGGAACTGCAGGTTTGGGGGAAAGGGGCCAGCATGAACTTTACTTTCCCTGTGCATCCTTTTGCACTCTTTTAATTCTTTTTTTTACTGCGTTCTTTCGTTAAGTTTCCAAATGAAGGAAACAGAAAATTCAAAATGACGTTTACAATAAAATGAGAAAGATAGACACACACACACATGAAACAAAAGTCGGAACACACAGATGCAAGTTACAGCATAGGGAATATAGTCAATAACATCGTTATAACCATGTATGGGGCCAGGTCGGTGTTTGAAACATCAGGGGACCCCTCTCTAAAGTACATGATTTCCCAACCACTCTGCTGTTCCATCTGAAACTAATACACAAAAATATCAAATGTGAACTGTAATTGAAAAATTAAAAATAAAGAAAAGTGTGCACAATAAGAGGGAAAGAGTGATGAGTTCAGTCCAGCCAGGGTGGCTCAGTGGTTGAGCATTGATCTATCTAATTCCAGGTCAAGGGCACATGCTCAGGTTGTGGGCTCAATCCCCAACAAGAGGGTGTGTAGGAGGCAGCCAATCAATGATTCCCTCTCATCATTGATGTTTCTATCTCTCCCTCTCCCTTCCTCTCTGAAATTATATATATCTACCTAATAAAAGAGTATCATGCTAATTGACCCTACCTTCTCAATTCTTACCAGCCAATCAGGAGTGGGTAAGCTGGTGGGTTAATTTGCATACACAGGCACTGAGGCCGCTGTGAGTGGGGCAGTTCCTCTGGGCCTCTGGCCAGCGTGGGAAGGCAGAAAGGCAGCTCCAGCCAGAGCGAAGATGCTGCTGGCAACCAGGGAAAGAAAGGCCCATGCTTGCACAAATCTTCATGCATTGGGCCTCTAATATATAATATATATATTTAAGAGTGATAAATAAGTTCAGAATTCTAAAACTCCGTGCTCCTAAATAGAAAGCTGGGGCTGGAAAGGGGCCAGGTTTACTCTGGCTTCAGGGCCTGTAAAAGCAGGTGGCGGGGCTGTGGGTAAGCGAGCAGCGAGCCTCTGGAAGGGACTTTAGCACAGTCCTGCCTGCCTGTCATGGCGCGTGAGACATCTGAGCAAAGGTGCCTGGAGGGAGGCGGCTGGGCTGTGGGAGGGAGTCTGCCCAGCGCACCCACTTGTCTTCTCTTCCTTCTATGAAGCCGGTTTCGTTTTCCTTCCCAGAAACTCTAACCCCTGACTTACTAAACACAAGGAGCAGAAAAAAGGGGGTTGGGGGGCCTAGTGAGTGGGGGTGGTACTTCCAGGAAATCCAGACATAAAGCATCAGTGCCAAGGGCCAGAGGAATAAACCACCAATTCCTGGAACAATGAGTCACCTTTCCTATAAGTAATTGAGTTCATCACCATCTAGAACTTGGCCATGCCCATTTCTCACAGACCTGAAACTGTTGATAAAGTTGGCGTGTCCCTGCCTTGAAGTTAAGGTCCCTCGCCTGGGGCAGCTCTTACCAGAGGGTGGAGGGTGAGGGGGGATGGATGCCGCCCATGGGGTGGAACTCAGGGCAGTGTTCCCCCCAGAGCACTCTGGGAGGCCAGGCGGGGACAACAGGCGTGGCCTCAGCTTTGCCTGCCTTCCTCCCTCACTTCCAGGCTCTGCAGCCAAAGAGAAATTCCTAAGCAAATCACTAGCACAAGAAGTCTCCTGAGACCCTGACTGACCCCGGGCATTGTGTGTGTGTGTGTGTGTGGGGGGGGGGGGGGGGGGGAATAGGGGGGAGGCTCCAGCAGTGAATTCCTTGACGGGCTGGTCCCTGCACAAGAGGAGGCATTGACTCTTGGGGATTGCACAGATAGCTCACCCATTGCTACCAGGAGAGAAAGCAGCAAAGGAGGGTCGAGTGCAGGTGGAGCAGGAGGTTTGGTGGTGCAAGAGGAAATCAGTGAAATGAGGCCATAGAGTGCAAGTGTGGAGAGTGTGAGAGGGCAGGGGGGACGAGGCTAACTCCTGACTCCATTTTATACTGTGGGGCAGGGCAGAGCTATCCTCCATTTTATGGAACTGGACCCTAGCCCTCACCCAACCAATCAGGGTCAGCCAAAGCAGTGACATCACCACCAGTGTAAAACCCCTGGGCTGGGCAAAGTTCGCTCTCTTCCGCCATGCTGTCGGCGTGAGTGGGACAGAGCTCATGCTAGCATGGAAGAGGCTCTTTTGTTTATTGCATCAGACTTAGCTCCCTGGTGGTCCTTGAGGATCACAAAGTCTGGGCGTAACAATGGACCGTGATAGAGGTCTGAGGAGACCAAAGCAGGCAGAGATAGTCCAAGAGAACAAAAGGGTGATCACAGCAGGGAAATGTCAGTTTGTGGTCATTGGCTTGAGGTCAGTCTCAAACAGTGATGTTTTTCCACAAGCCACAACTAGGAATTCCAATACAGATGTGGTTAGCAGACCCACATGTGGTTAGCAGACATATGAGATCAACCAGAGTTCAGATTCTGCCCTGAGAAGGACTGAGGGAAAGCAGGGATGTTTAGGGTGCAAAAGGGAGAATTTATGATGACCCAGGACTCTAGCTGGGTAAGGAGGAAGGGAGAGGTGACTGTTGGAGGGAGGGGTCTAGAGGAAGAGACTTGGAAAGGTAGCATGTGGTTGTCTGACAGAGTGGCATGGTTAAAATCGAGACTTGGGTGGAAGTACAGATATTGGTAATGACAGTTTACTGGATGCATGATTGGGAAGACCTGGAGGTTAAACTGATTTAAGGAGGATGGGAAGGATCAGGAAATAATGGCAAAGTGTATACCAAAGAGGAATTATAAGTGAATTAGTAGCTCTTCTTTATCTGTTCTTGCATTTCCCAAATATTCCACAATGAGCGTCTTTTACTATGTAAACAGAAAAAAACGGTATTAAATAAAAGCAAAGATATTACTCAAAGGTTAAAAGGAAAAACAACAACTCTTTATTGGTAAGTCAATTACTACTGTTTACAAGTATCCAGTCCACAAAGTTTATAGTTATTTCCATTCTAGAACTGTACCAGTATTTCCAAGCATCTTACACAGAATCATTTAAAATGAGACCAAATGAGAGATGTTTCACAGTGCACGCACTTTGCTTCAGGCAATGCCTATTTTACAATGCACACATGTTTGTATTTGTACCTGCATTAAGAAACCCTGAAATGCCCCAGCCAGTTTAGCTCAGTGGATAGAGCGTCAGCCTGTAGACTGAAGGGTCCCTGGTTCAATTCCAGCCAAGGGCATATGCCCAGGTTGCGGGCTTGCTCCCCAATAGGGGGTGTGCAGGAGGCAGCCAATCAATGATTCTCCCTCATCATTGATGTTTCTATCTCTCTCTCCCTCTCCCTTCCTCTCTGAAATCAATAAAGATATATATATATATATATATATATATATATATATATATATATATATATATGTGTGTGTGTGTGTGTGTGTGTGTATATATATATATATATATATATATATATATATATATATTTAAAAGGAAACCCTGAAATTATTTATGGGATGAGAAGGTAAGGGTTGGGCATACAACCAACATAAATGGGAGTGAGACTTTACTTGGGTACCTTTTTATGTTTTATTACCTTTGAACAATACAAATATATTATCTATTCAAAAATAAATGTAAAAATTAAGTATTAATACAATTGTAAATTTTTAATAGAAAAACTCTCTTTTAAAAATCAGATATGCAAATTTATGCTAAGAAATAATTGTTTATATTGACAAATGAATCTTTTTTTTAAGCAGGAGATTTCCCCCAGTACTTTTCACCAAGGGTTCCACTTTCAAAAATGTAGTCCCTGTTCTAAAATACAAATCTATCCCTATATTCTTAACACAGAAGAAAACTGCAGACTTTTGACAGGATCCATACCCCACCAGAAAATAAAGTTAAATAACTTGTTGCTTACAGCTTATACCTACTCTAAGGATAACGATACTTGTTTGGTATGGCTCGAGTTTAGAATGAGATCCAGTAGTTTGAAGTCCTTTCTAAGGAGGTAGATTCAAGTCCAGCAGAGAAAGGAAGGATTACAGCTGTCCACACGTGAAAAACCAGATAGCAGGGTTGCAGAGCAGTAGATACACCGGATTGCAAACCCTTCACTAACAGCTGTGAGAATTCAACAAGTCACCCAACACTCGGAAGGCTGGACCACAGGGTTTCTAGAATTCTTGTAAGCTCCCAAATCCATGACTGCATGTGATGTGAGTCCCCACTGCTAGAAGAGTGAGAGGTGAAGGATGGTGGAGGATGGGCAACCCTGTCATGGGTGAGAGGATGGATTGCAGCAGGTTTCAAATAGATTAACCACGGGCACCAGACAATAAATCCGAGGGCCTCCAGCCGAGGACCCTCATCCATGCTACATTAAAAAGTTCAATGTATGGGCACACAATGCAATATACAAATCATGTATCATAGCCGTGTTCACTTGAGACCTATATAATTTTATTAACCAATGTCATCCCAATTAATTTAATTTTTAAAAAAGTTCAACCCTTTGATAAACATCAGGATGTGAGCACAGAGTTTGTGTAGCAGAACTCAAATGCATATAAAGTGGTCATACAGAAGAGCCAGGATGCACTTCTATTAATGTTTTTTTCATTATCACCAAAAAGGAATGACAACATTTAAAATGATGGTGGAGGACTGAAAGACCCCGTAGAAGGAAGCCACAAACACCTGTGGACCCAAGAATTCCAGGCTGAGAACAGCTTGACTAAATCACTCAGACAGCATCAGACCTGGAAGACTTTGTAAGGTAGAAATGGCACAAAAGTTATCTCTAAAATGAGCTAAACTTCTAATTTGATTGGCCTTAGTGGAGACTTGATCATTGGTAAAGGGGTGTAATTCAGCAGCATTTACCACTGGATTATACTGGTCAGAGTCTATTCCCTGATTGGCCAGTACCCACAATGCACCAGTTGCTTATATGTTTAAATAACCTAATCATTGGCCGGGAGATATTGTATTACTAAGGGGGAATCCCCTTGATATCATACCTGCCCATCACCAAGATAAGTCCCTGAAGTAGTCCCACAGGGTGAACCCCAAATGTTTCCAATGAGGGAGACTTCATCAGCAGTGTTTTGTCTATCTGACTCAGAGTCAGGAGCTGGCCTGGTTGCTGCAGGGCATGGTGAGCCAGTGAGGGAAGAGCCAGCTCTTCACTCAGAGGATGGCAGTAGGTATTGCTAGTGTTGATTTGCAGCTACAAGTAGCTGGAATTAGATGCAAAGGAACTCAGATTCTGCTATTTTCATTTACATTCCTACCAAAAGACTCTGCATCTAAAGGCCTTATATGCACAGCAGCACATTGCATACAGGTGTCTCTATTTAGCTATCTATATAATTAAATAGGTAACTAAATAAATAGCCATTAAACCTAAGAATATATACAGGATGGGGCAAAAGGTTTACAATTGTCAACCTACTTTTACCCCACCCTGTATGTATGTGAGTTTATGGATGAGGAAGGTGCGGTCTAAGGAGGCAGGGCAATGTGCTGCTGCCGCCCAGCTGGTTACTGGTTACGTGACCTCCCCACAGATAACATTTTCTCTAATTTATAGATAAGGCTCAAAAAACTAGCTTTGGGGGAGATAAGAGATCAACCGGAGGACTTGTATACATGCATATAAGTACAACCAATCGACACAAAACTCTGGGAGGGAGGGCATGTATCCGAGGGGCCGTTCAGAAAGCCCCGCTGTGTCCCAGGGCTGCTCAGCTCACTTACGCAGGAAATGGAGTCACGTAACCAGTAACCGGCTGGGAGGCAGCAGCACATTGCCCTGCCTCCTTAGACCACAGCTTCCTCATCTATAAACGAAGGTCTTAACCGAAGCACTTCCCATCTCTCTCTTTCCAAGAATTAAAAAAGAGAAATCCCTCTCAAAATTGAAAACAGAGTTCACAAACATTCATTTTAGAAGCACCAAGGCTGCCATACAGAGCCACCTCTCCGCAGGCATAGCCAGACACCTCTCTGGCCAAGGAGGGGGCAGCAATCCCTGTGAGCAGGGTGGGTCCCCCAAGCTGCTCCTCTCCTCTTCCTGTGGCTGGAGGAGCCGAGCGAGCCTGTGGGCACAGCTGCCAACCCTGAGGGCCCAGGCCCGGAGACTCAGGCTGTACTGCAGAGTCCCGATGCAGGCCTCACCGGAAGTCAGCATCATGCATTCACGTTTGCAAGTGGCAGAGGCAATAAACCTGTTGCTATCCTCCGTCTGAGTTGAGTGTTCTGTCACCAGCCTCTGCAAGGTTCTGGCTGACAGGGAAGTAGCATCAGGCTGTAAAGTTCCTGCTCCCGGAGTAGCTGCACGTGAGTCTCGTGTACACTCAGCTGTCATTTCCTAGAGCGGGCCCCGCTCCTGCAGCAGCACCTTCCGGGACAGAGATGCAGGAGGCGGGCGTGGCTGTAAACCCAAGGTGCCCCTCGGGAGGTGTGTAGAAGGAAAGCTTTGGGAAGGGAAGAGCAGAGGAGGGTTGGAAACCGTGATCTTGTGCTCTCATCATGGGCCAATGTCCAAAACAGGGCCATGGGGAGGGGGACACAGGGAGTGGCCCCTTATAACAAGGAGTGGTCAGGTAGAGGGGAAATCTAAGAACATTGGTCCCTAGAGCGAAAGGGAACCTTAAAATGTTCCTCCTTCCTTCTTTCCCTTCACAGCTACACAAACGAAAGCCAATTGCTTTTTTTCCTCAGGGTACAGAGCAAAAGGCAAGAATATAATCCAAGGCATCAATCGTTACAAAGAAAAAAGTCTGGTAGTATTTAGATTTGTTAGGGGGGGGGGGGGGGGAAGCACAGAAAGTAGAACTGTGTCAGAAAGTAGAACATTCCTTGTTGCTAGAATGATAGACGAAGGCCAGCTCACCATCTGTCACTGATTCCTACGCTGGGTGGGAAGTTGGGAAACAAGATTCCTTTCCAGTCTAAGAGTCAGTGGGAACTCTCTCTGGGAGTTCTTGCGGGGGCACAGGGAAGATGACTTTTTTACGCAGTGTGAAGACAGGTTGAGGGATTTGTTTCTTCGGTCCTCGTCGGCCCACATCATTATTGACAGCAGTGAGGATGGATAAGATATCTTCACCTCTGCAGGCAGAGAAGAAAACATATTTTCAATCAGGAGACAGAAATCAGGTACCGGATCTTAGAAATAAGACCATAACAAAACAAAAAAGAAATAAGACCATAAAACATGTGGCTCCTTCCTAGCCCAACAGATCCAGATTCTACCCGGGATCCTGCTAACAATAAAGAAATACTTCCGGCCCAGGCTGGTTTGGCTCAGTGGATAGTGTAAGCCTGTGGACCAAAGTGGCCAGGGTTCGATTCCAGTCAAGGGCACAAACGTTGGTTGCAGGCTCCTCCTCGGCCCAGGCCCTGGTCAGGGCTCGTGCAAGAGACCACCAATCAACGTGTTGCTCTCACATCAATGTTTCTCTCTATCTTTCCCTCTTTCTTCCATGCTCCCTAAAAATCAATGGAAAAGTGTCCTCGAGTGAGGATTAACAAACAAAAAAAAAGAAAAGAAATACCTCCGAAATTGAAAAAGAAATTCTAAATTATATTAAATTTTCAATTCTACATTCAGTGTTTAAGGACATTATAAAAATTACAGCTTGCATTTTAATGTACTTATTCCACAAAGGAATTTTACATATAATTATTTTTCCATGTTCTTCCTTCAAGCTGATAAATAGATGATAAATAGATAGATGGGCCATAGAGAGATGGAAAGAATAGATAGGCAGGTGATAGAGGTGGAGAAAGAGAGCCTGGTATTAATAATGTCCTCTCTGTTCTTGGTTTGGAGATGGATTCAGAGATAAATGTGATATAATTCTTGATCTAAAAGACTTAAAATGCAGGCATAAAACATGTACACACAAAATGCATAATACAAGGCAGAATGTGATCAACACCATCTGAAAAGGTCAAAGTTCTGCTTAAAGTTTGAAGGAGAAAGCCAGAACTCCAGGCTGGGAGAAGAGAAGGGTCCCTAGAGGGGAGAACACTTGAACCTGGGCTGGCAGGGCGGGCAACACATCATCAGAAGCAATGCATAGGCCCTTCAGACAGACTCAAGTTTGAATCATCGTTCTATCACTCATGGGTCACGTGGCCTTGGGCAGGTTACTTACTTTCCTATGCTTCCGTTTTCTTACCTCTAAAATGAAGACCATAATAGGACTCATTGTAGGGACTGCCATGGGAATGAAATCAGGTATTTTATGTAAAGCACTTAGAACACCGGCTACAATATTCCACTGGCCATCATTGTTGTTGTTTTTTAATTGATTTTTTTTTTTTTTTTTTTTTACAGAGAGGAAGGGAGAAGGATAGAAAGCTAGAAATGTCGATGAGAGAGAAACATCGACCAGCTGCCTCCTGCACACCCCCTACCGGGGATGTGCCCGCAACAAATGCACATGCCCTTGACAGGAATCAAAGCCGGGACCTTTCAGTCCGCAGACCGATGCTCTACCACTGAGCCAAACCGAGTTCGGCTTGACCATCGTTGTTGGTATGATTAGCATTACTGCTACTTCTCATCATCATCGTTAATTTTCATTATTATTTTTTTAATCCTCACCTGAGGAAATTTTCCCATTGATTTTTAGGGAGAGTGGAAGAGAGAGGAAAAGACAGAGAGAAACATCGATGTGACAGCAACACATCGATTGGTTGACTCCTGCATGCATCCTGACCAGGGCCCCGGCCAGGGAGGAGCCTGCAACCAAGGTACGAGCCCTTGACAGGAATTGTACCTGGGATCCTTCAGTGTAGGTGGATGCTCTATCTACTGAGCCAAACCAGCCAGGGCATCGATGTTATTTTTCAGATGGGAATGTAAGCCCTGTCTGATTCTAAGTCCTTCCATCCTGATCACACTAGCTGTTCTCTCTCTCTCCTGAAATCTTCCTGTGGCTGACTCCCCATCACTCAGCCACTCGCACGATCACCTCTCCCAAAGAGTCTTCTCAAGCCGCTCCTTGCCCCCACCCCCAGGCCCAATATCATGATCCTGTTTTGCTGTCTTCGTAGCAGGCATCACTTCCTAAAATTATCTTATTCATTTAAGTACTCATTTACTTACAGTTTTATTATATGTCTGCCTCTTACTGGACTGTAAGCTACATGGAGAAGAGTTGTTTTTTAAGGTTTAGAATAGTTGTTTTTTCCCTATGGCTGCTGACTATAAATCAGTGTTTCCCCATTGGAAGAGAAAGCACAGTACATTTTCATGGCTAGGGGATGGTTTTCTGGTCATCTTCAACAGGGGAAAAAAACTTCAAAAACACCGAAACACCTGAATGTTGGAATTCAGTCCATTGTAGTCCTAGCTGGTTTGGCTCAGTGGGTAGAGCGTCAGCCTGTGGGCTGAAGAGTCCCAGGTTTGATTCTGCTAAGGGCACATGCCTGGAGTTGCCAGCTCACTCCCTAGTAGGGAGCGTGCAGGAGGCAGCCAATTAATGATTCTCATTCATCATTGATGTTTCTATCTATCTCTCTCCCCTCTTCCTTCCTCTCTGAAATCAATAAAAAATATATATATTTAAAAAAAATTAAAAAGTCCCTTGTAGCGGGGATCCAAGATGGCTGCAACAATTTCAATAAAATACAACTAAAATACAAAATGGACATTACCCAGAACTACAGGAAAGTCGACTGACTGGAAATTCTACAACGAGAAGGAAAGAGAAAACCAGAAGGAAAATCAGAGGAGCTGTAAAAGCCTAAGGTATGGAGACATGCTGCGCGTGTGGGGAGAGGAGGGGTGGCCGAGTGCCTGGCGGGTGTTCCCTATCAGGAAGAAGATAAAAGCTCCAGACTGTGCTGAACCCCAGATTCGACAGCAGTGAACCCCAGTTCTAAGCCAAACCCTGGGGACCCAGGCTCATACAGAGGTATCCTGGGCTGTAAGATGAAATCTCAGGGGAGCGGCGAAAGGCAGAGCCCCTGGAGGCACGCACACTGCACGCAGAGGACAGATTGTTGACTCTGCTGCTAGATTGCCCTGGGGTAAGGAGACAAAAGCTCCAGACTGTGCTGAGCTCCAGTGCCGACTGCATTGAACCCCGGTTCTAGGCCAGACCCTGGGGACCCAGGCTCATACAGAGGGAACCTGGGCTGTAAGGCGGAAACCCAGGGGAGCGGCGAGAGGAAGTCCGGGAGGCGCGCACATTGCGCGCAGAGAACGACGGTTGACTGTGCCGCTGATTGCCCTGGCGGAAAGGAGACAAAAGCTCCAGACTGCTCTGAATCCCACTTCCAACTCCACTTCCAACTGAACTGAACCCCAGTTCCAGGCTCATGGGGGGAGAGCCTAGACTGTTTGGTAGCGGGCAAAACTCGAGGGCACCTTTCTCTCAGAGGTGCTTGCAGCGAATACCGAAGGACACTGAGGAACACTGAGACTCAGGAGCCTCATAGGGTGGGGCTGAGGAAAGCCAAGCTTGTAGGCTCCACCCTGAAACTCCACCCCATCCAAGCTGAAAACAGAGACTTTTAAGGCTACCAACTCAGGGATGCTGCGAAAATGCCGAGACAAGGAAACAGATCACAAACAAAAGAAATGGAGGACAAAAAGTGACTGGATATAGCATTCAAAACCACGATTATAAGGTTTTTCAAGAATTTCCTAGAAAAGGCCAATAAAATAAATGAGACCTATGAGGATATGAAAAGGGATCAACTATAAATAATAAGGGATCAACAAGAAATAAAGAATACATTGTCTTGCTGAAACCGGTTTGGCTCAGTGGTAGAGCATCGGTCTGTGGACTGAAAGGTCCCAGGTTTGATTCCAGTCAAGGGCATGTACATTGGTTGCGGGCACATCCCCAGTAGGGGGTGTGCAAGAGGCAGCTGGCCGATGTTTCTCTCTCATCGACGTTTCTAGCTTTCTATCCCTCTCTCCTCCACTCTGTAAAAAATCAATAAAATATATTAAAAAAAAAAAAAGAATACATTGTCTGAAATAAAAAATATTATACAGAGTCCTAAAAACAGAATGGAAGATCACAAGAATCAAGTCAAAGATTTGGAACATAAAGAGCCAGAGAACACTCCTCCACAGAAGCAAGAAGATAAGAGAATCCAGAAAGTTGAAGATAATGTAAGAAACTCTGGGACAACTTCAAGCGAACCAATATCAGAACTATGGGGTCCTAGAAGAAGAGAGAGAACAAGATACCAAAAACATACTGGAAGAAATTAGTGACAGAAAACTTCCCCCACCTGGTGAAAGAATTAGACTTACAAGTCCAGGAAGCGCACAGAACCCCAAACAAAAGGAATCCAAAGAGGACCACACCAACACACATCATAATTAAAATTCCAAGAGCAAAAGACAAAGAGAGAATATTAAAAGAAGCAAGAGAAAAGCAGGTAGTTACCTATAAAGGAGCATCCATATGATTGTCAGCTGATTTCTCAACAGACACAATGCAGGCCAGACGGGAATGGCAAGAAATATTCAAGGTGATGAATAGCAAGAACCTACAGCCAAAAATAATCTATCCAGCAAAGCTATCACTCAGAATTGAAGGCCAGATAAAGAGCTTCACAAATAAAAAAAGCTAAAGGAGTTCATCACCGCCAAACCAGAATTATATGAATTGCTGAAGGGGGTTCTTTCAGAAGAGAAAGTAAATAAAGATAAAAATTATGAACAACAAATACGTAACTATCAACAAGTGAATCTAAAAACCAAGAGAATTAAAAAAAAAATCTGATGAACAATATTAACTAGTGAATATAATAGAATCAGAGGTATGGAAGGGGACAATTCTTGGGGAAGAGGGGAGTGGGGGTGTGGGAAGAGACTGAACATAAACTGTGCACCTATGGATGAGGACAATAGGGGGTGGGGAAAGGGCAGAGGGTGGGGTGGGAACCTGGTGGAGGGGAGCAATGAAGGGGGGGGGGGAATTAGGAACATTTGTAATAATATGAACAATGAAGATTTAAAAATAAATAAATAAAATCAAATAAAAAAAGCCCCCTTGTAAAAACAAAACGGATTAAAAACAAACCGAAAAGAAGGGGCAGGGAAATTTTTTTAAAAAGGAAAAAGGAACAGACAACAAGGGCAGCGGACTTATTGCTTCTCCTCAGCTTTCTCCTGGGTCTCCTCCAGGAGAGCTTAGCTTTTCAGCCACTTTCTCGCACTGTGGCATTGTCATTTTGGCCCAATCCTCCTCTCTTTCCTCTCTCTTCGCTCTCTTTCCTGCATTCTCCAAGCTTTGTCTTGGATTTCTGTGCGTGTTCAGCATCGAGGAAGCTGCAAAGGCGCAAAGGCGGGGAGGGCGCTCCAGCCGGCGGTCCCGCCCGCGCTGGCTCAGCTCCATCGCCAGGAGAAGGTGCTGGGCGTCACCTCCAAGGTCTTGTCCCTCCTGGTGAGGTGGATGGTCCCTGTTCCTTCCCCTTTGGGAGCCTGGCGTGCCGCTGCCTCCTTCCTTCCAAGCTGGGAGACTGTTCTCTGAAGGAACAGCTTTGCCCGCATTTTGAAAAGTTCCTCTCCATCTTCTCCCAGGGCTTTCATTTCTTGCTCAGGAAGAGAAACTCCGGGCTCAAGCTGGGGGTCGTGGTTGGATCCGCCTGCATCCTCGGCGGAGGAATCATGGTCCTCATGGGTGTCCATCGCTAGTGCCAGTGCCGCCCGCCCCCTGCCCGCCCTCTCACACCCTGGAGAAGAGATGTTTGTCTCTGATTCCCAGACATCTCCCAGCCCCTAGCTCAGTCCCAGTCTAGCAGGCACACAGTATCCCCTCGGCTCTGAAGCCCTAGCACTTTGGCCTCTGGTGGCTATGGTGGGGATGGAGAGGTTGGTAAAAAGAGAGAAAAGCTGAGGTCACTCAAGGCTCCAACCCGGTTCGCTGTCTTAAGTCCCCAGAAGAACACTGTGGCCATCTCTACAGATGGGGGACTGGGGAGTAGGGGCTCCTAGCTCGCAGCGGGCTGAGCGGATGAATTCAGGATGTTCATACGGGATGTGAGGTCAAGGGCAACACAAAGGTAGGGGGTCTGGCAGCCTGTGAAAATGTGTAAGAATGACCTTCAGAGTGACCTTGACTGGGTCACTCATTCATTGGTGCAGCAGATAGTTACCAAGCTCAACCGTATGTCAGATACGATGCCAGGCGCTGAGGACATAAACTTGGATGAAGCTACACTTCAGAGGTGGCAGGACTCAGAGATGGCAACTTGGGAGGCATTTCCATGGAGATGCCAGTGGCCTCCGGGATCACGGAAAATTCCCAGAGAGGCTCTAGAGTAGGGGTGTCGAACTCAATCAGAGAAGGGGCCAAAATCTAAAATCCAGCCTAAATCGCGGGCCGAATGGTTTACTGAACAGTCATAAACTGTCATTGTGATGGAAAGGCAGCGGAGTGCAGTGATGACAGCGCGCTGCGGGCCACATTGCAAGGCCTGGCGGGACGGATTTGGCCCGCGGGCCTTGTGTTTGACACGTGTGACAGCGGAGGAGGTGGTCCAGGGCAGAACCTTGGTGAAGGCCCACTGCCAGGACACCAGGTAAGGAGCATGTGGCAGAGACAGAAAGAAAGTTGTCAGAGCCAAGGCAGGAGACCAGCCTATGGCCCAAAGGCAGCAGCACATAGGCACTCACTGAATATGCGTGACTAGTAAATTAATAAAGGAAGGAGCAAATGAAAGGCCCCCTCTGCTCAGCATGTCTTTCACCCCAGCTAGATGTTTCCCCTGGTCCTCCAAATCTGCGTGAGGTACCATAACACCTGTGCTTTACGTATATATCTACAACAGGGGGATCTCTTCCTCATCTACTGTGAGCAGCTTGCGGGCCAAGGACAGTATCTTTTTCTTTATTCCATATCTTCCTTTCCAGTTATATGTTGGTGCTCAATAAAGATATGTTGGATGGATGGACGGATAGGTGAATAGATGGATGGATGGATGGATGGATGGATGGATAGATAGATAGATAGATGATAGATAGAACAATGTGAAACTCTTACCTTGGGACCAAGTCCTTCAAATGGTTATACAGAGATTGAATATACCAGCTCCCTTCTCTCCTGTGACGAAAAGATACGTAGCCAGGGACAGTGGACAGGCCAAGAAGGAAGTCTGCTTCATTTGGGACACTGTCCTCAAGGGGAGGCTCTATTAATTCAGGATTTATAGCATCTGCTTCAATACATACAGAAGATTGTATCTCCTTGCCCTGACAGGCCTGGATGAAAAAGAGTTTGGGTTTGTCAACCAGACCGGGGCACTGCTTGGCTGTGAAGTGAGACATGATCTCCCGAATAGGAATGAGGGCATCATCTGAAGAGTAGATAGCTCCAAATTTCCCATGGGTCAGAACACAGAACACAAAGCAGTCTCCGTTGGCATGGTCTGGATGACGCTGATATTTTTGTAGAACTTCCTCCAGGCATTCTTTAGTTACATCATCCCGTATATCTACGTTGAATCCAAGCCACTGAAACACATGCTTCAGGCACTCTGTTTAAAAAAAAAAAAAAAAAAAAAAAAGGTGGGCGAGGATGGATAGTGAAAAAACTGAGCGAAATGAAATAAAAGGGGCCAAACAATGCTAATAGTTATATAAATTTCACAGCAAATATCCTGAAACTTTGGCTTATGTTTTACTTTCATAACAATAAAATTTTATGGTTAACCTGGCTTTTATAGCACCCACAGTGCTATCACAATGGCCCTGCGAGTGAGGAGAGGACAGAGTCCATTCTACTTCACGGGTGAGGGAGCTGGGGCTCTGTGACTCTCCCATGGTCACAAATCGCACTTAGTGGTGGAGCCAGAGCTCAAACACAGGTTTTCTCATACTGACCCAGCATGCTCACCCCCACATCACGGAATCATATGTGGTCAGGGGCCCCTTTCACTCTGTAAGCAGGTGGCTGGCACCCCAGGTGCTATGGTCTAAAAGTTTGTGCCTCCCCAAAATTCACATGTTGAAATCCTAACCCTCAAGGTGTGGGTATTGGAAAATGGGGCCTTTGACACATGCTTAGGCCACGAGGGTTGAGCCCATAAAGAAACCCCAAGTGAGCCCTGGCCAGTTTGGCTCAATGGATAGAGCGTCAGCCTGCAGACTGAAAGGTCCCAGGTTCGATTCCAGTCAAGGGCATGTACCTTGGTTACAAGCACATTCCCAGTGTGGGGTGTGCAGGAGGCAGCTGATCGGTGTTTCTCTCTCATTGACGTTTCTAACTCTATCCCTCTCCCTTCCTCTGTGGTAAAAAAAAAAAAAAAAAAAAAAAATCAATAAAATATATTTAAAGAAAAAAAAGAAACCCCAAGTGAGGTTACAGCGGGCAGATAGCCATGTAGGAAGAAGACTCTCACCAGACACTGAAACCCCATAGCCTTGATCTTAGACGGTCCAGCCTTCAGAACCATGAGAAATACAGGTTGGTTGTCTATGAGCCACCCAGTCTCGGTTGTTTGGATGGACTAAAACACTAGGGGTATATAGGAGGCTTTGAAACATTTATAATATCACCCTTACATTAAATGGAAGATTAGTAATTACAGAAAGGAAATATGAAAGTGGAAAGTGATTTTAAGCTCCCCACCCTGTAGCATACTATTACAGCCTGTCTTACCAGCGTCTTTTTTAGTCCCTTCTCTTTCTGACAGTGAGGTAAAGTTCTGGTTGTTGATAACAACACAGTAGCCTCTGTGTTTACGATTCATCCTGTACACAGTTCTATCCTTGAAAGAAGAAGAGATGGAACCACTTATTAGAGAATCTTCACTTTAAGAGTTTAATGTTTCTAACCAACCACTCCATTTATCGGTACCAAAGGCAGAGCATTCTCAAGAGCCCGGGCCTGGCCTGGAATTGATCGATTGCCAGGCCCTGACTAAAGTTCAGAGTTCACCTGGTTTAATTGCAAAATGTCAGTTCTCAGTGTTAAGTAACAAAGTATTTTTTTTTAACTTTGAAAAACCCAGGTTTTATGCAAAAGCATCTTCCTTTTTTAAAAATATATTTTATTGATTTTTTACAGAGAGGAAGGGAGAGGGATAGAAAGCTAGAAACATCGATGAGAGAGAAACACCGATCAGCTGCCTCTTGCACACCCCGTATTGGAAATATGCCCGCAACCAAGGTACATGCCCTTGACCGGAATCGAACCCGGGACCCTTCAGTCCGCAGGCTGGCCCTCTATCCACTGAGCCAAACCGGTTTCGGCGCATCTTCCTTTTTGGATGAGCAAAGTGAAGAAAGTAAAGGTAAGGACCTAACAAGACAACAGAAATACAAATGGTAATTTTTTTCAGATGGTAGGATTCAGAGCGATCTGTTTCCTCCTAAAGCAGAGAAATCTCTTTGGTAGCTATCACAGTGGGAATTTTAAAATGTATGCAATTATTTCAGAAGGCTATCTCAAACAGCCTATGATTACAAGTTATCTGAGCTGGCATCAGCGGGGCCTCTGTGTGGCTAAAATGATCTCCTGAAAACATGGTACATCTTGAATCCAAACGGACAAGGAGTGGCATCAGTCAATAAAAGAAGGAATTCCCATTTCTGGAAATAATTAAAAAAGTATGTGTGACTGAAAGAGCCTTAGTGTCAGCACCTTCTGGAGGTTATAAAGAAAGGTAGGAAGGACAGAGATGATCACGGAAAGAGGAAGAAGAACCAAGATGAACACAAAGAACTCTGAGCCCTCAAAGTCCCGAAGGGTGAGACCCCAGTGAGACCCCAGTTGGAGACGCCCCGAAGAAACTGTCCAGACCTTTGTGCTGGTTTCAGAAGTTAGACTGTGACCAGATAGTCCCAACATCGCCATAGAGACCAGGGTTACTCGGTCACCGAGAAAGAGAAATACTTATATTCTTCAAATATATCTCCTCACTTAGATATCCTTCCACCAAGTGGGTGGAGAGTCAACACCACATGAATCAGATCAAATGTTTCCGGTAGAAAGCTTGCTTGGGTCGAGTCACCATGTATCTGTCACTGGCTAGAGAGAGACTGAGCAGATACGAAGGAGAAGAAGTGGGGAGATGGGAAGAGATTAACCAAAGAACTCATATGCATACATGCACAGCCAATGGGCAAGGACAGTAGTGTGCTGAAGGCCTGCAGTGGGGCAGGGGTTGGGAGGAAGGGGGAGGGTGGGAGATAAAGGGTGAGAAATGGGGGACATCTGTAATAAGGTCAACAATAAAATAAGAATAAATGAAATCAATTTAAAAATTTTAAAGGCCCAGAGACTTAATCTAGGAAAGACAAAAATCAGTCCATTGTACTGGGATTACTTAGTCATGCTTTTGGCATTGGCTGAGGATTGCAGTGCTTTGAAGGGTTTCTGCAAACTCCCTGGTTTCTCTGAATAGGGACCCGTCCTAAAGAGGAAGCCAGTTGTCATAGGACAGTAAACAGGAAAACGTCCCTTGAAACTTTTCTGCGCCCACCAGCCAGATTTCCGTAGAATCTGGCGAGCTCCACCCTAGCCTGTGAGTCAGTTATTAACTACTGTTATGGTTAAGGGTCTGTCCTGGGTGCTCACCTCAGGCTGAGTGAGGCTAGTCTCTGCCAGACCAGAAAACACACTGAAAGGACCCAGGCTGCTGTCATACAGAGAGGGGCACCTGCACGTTGCTCCTCACCTTGGAGAAGGTAAGGTCCTAGGAAAGCCATGTTTCAACTGGCTTCAGAATTGCAAAACTGGAAGAAACTCGTTTATTTTTCAAAGAAGTGAAGCTGTGGCCTGAGCTCCTGCAGCTACACAGCCAAGCCAGGTGTTCGGAGGGCAAGCTCCGGGGTCAGACTGCCGGGTCCAAACTCCAGCTCCACTCCTTTCTTGCCAATGAGTCTAGAAAGACCTCTAGAGCACATGTGTCAAACACAAGGCCCTCGGGCCAAATCCGTCCCGCCAGGCCTTGCAATGTGGCCCGCACCACGCTGTCATCACTGCACTCCGCTGCGTTTCCATCACAATGACAGTTTATGACTGTTCAGTAAACCATTCGGCCCACGATTTAGGCTGGATTTTAGATTTTGGCCCCTTCTCTGATTGAGTTCGACACCCCTACTCTAGAGTCTCAGTTTCCTCATCACTCGGTGATAATGTGATTGAAGAATTAAGTGAGATAAGCCCTAGAAAGCTCTTAGAACAGTGCCTGGCACATAGCAAGTACTCAGTAATGGTTAATTCGCGCCGACATCCTATTACGTGACCTCCCAGTTAAGATTCCTAGGGAAGTGGAGCGTGTGGAACCAATAACCTGTTTGCTCACAAGCAGGTTCTCTCAATGGCAGGGTCTGAAAGATTTCCCTGAGGTTATGGTTTCCGGGCAAGGATTCAAGGAAATAAACACACCGCTGTCGAGCCCCTCCCTCTGGCCCCTCTCCCTCTGCAGGCAGCACCATATCAGACATCCTCAGACTCAGCATTCTGCTCTGTCACGGCTGGCCTTGGTGCCTCAGGGCCACCAGGGGTTCCCGCCCTCCTCACAGAGGGTGTCCTAATCCTGAAGGGTTGCTTACTTTCCCCAGAACCTGTTATGTGAGGCTTTCAAAGTGGAAACCACCTCTTTATCGTCCCATAGAAAAGCCTGGTATAATCCATGCATTCATTGGCTTCCTCAGAATTGAGATAAGAAATGAATTCTTGCCCTAACTAGTTTGGCTCAATGATAGAGCGTCGGCCTGGGGACTCAGGGGTCCCAGGTTCGATTCCGGTCAAGGGCATGAACGTTGGTGTCTGGCACATCCCCAGGTGGGGGGGAGGGGTTGCAGGAGGCAGCTGATTGATGTTTCTCTCTCATCAATGTCTCTAACTCTCCCTCTCCCTTCCTCACTGTAAAAAAAAAAAACCAATAAAATATATATATTTTAAAAGAAATGAATTCTCCACTAATTTGTAAACCTTTTCCCAAGTCACAATGAATAACTAGGTATAAGTAAAATATATCTCTTTCTGCCATACTGATCCAAGTTATAAAAAGTGCATTAGGTACATCTACCATTACTCTTTCCAGGTGTATCTTGACAAGTTCCCTCATATTGAGGAAAGAGGAAGAGCAGGAAAGTCACAGAGTTAGGAGGAGAGTTGAAAATCTAGACTTGATGGGTTGGCAGACACATTGAGGTGGTGTGCCCTGTGAAGGTATGGAAACTCCCTGCCACTCCCAACTCTCCTCACTTGTCCTATGGATCTCTTCCACGTAGATGTTTTGAGTTGTGTCCCTTACAATGAACCTGAAACGTAAATGTTAAAACAAAGTGACTTGATGCAGAAAAGGACAGACGCCCAGTCTTCAGCCATAGAAAAGGCCACTGGCAGGTGACAAGAAGAGAATCAACTCCCTTCTTCCAAAGGGGAAGGTTCACAAAGACACAGTGGCGAGAATTCTCAGAGCAAGGGAGTCTGAGTAAGTCAGTGTGTGGGCCCTTTGTGCACAATGCCTGGAACTCCCTCCCAGATCCCCTCGTCTCACTCAACAACTAGTTTTCACAGCTGGAAGTTATGGGGACTTGTCTTCCCAGCACTGAAACCCTGGGCTGGGAGTCCTGGTGTTGGGCTGGGACTCCTGTACTTTCAGAGGGGACCTCCACTGTTGAGATGTTCCTCCCGATTTTTAAGTGCCACACGTGAGAGTGAGACCAGGCTGTTCCATGTCTCCACCCTCCCTACCAGTGTCCTTCTATATATCCTTAGTTACAGGACTTCTGTTCAGCTACCTTTCAGACATTCTGAATGATGGTTGTTCTGTAACTTAGTTGTAATTTTGATGTGGTTGTGGGAGGTTCTGAATACCATGTTTACCTACACCATCATCTTGACTGGAATGCTATGGAAACATTTTTTTTTAAATAAAAAATAAAAATTCCACAAATAACCCAATTTAAAAAACAACCCATTTACCCAAAGAAGATATACAAATGGCCAACAAGCACACAAAAGGGGATGCCCAACATCACTAATCATGAGTGAAGTAATGAAAATCAAAACCACAATGAGATGCCACCTCACATCCATTTCGATGGCTACTATTAAAAACCAAGAAAACAAGTGTTGGCAAAGACGTGGGGAAACTGGGACTTTTGTGTATTATGGGTAGAAAGGATGCTGCTGCTGTGGAAAACAGTATGGTGGTTCCTCAAAAGATGAAATACAGAATTATCCTAAGATCCAGCAATTTCACTTCTGGGTTAATACCCAAAAGAACTGAAAGCAGGATCTACAAGAGATATTTGTATTATGGCCATAGCAGCATCATTCACAGTAGCCAAAAGGTGGAAGCAACCCAAGTCGCCATCAGTGGATGAATGGATAAACGAAATGTGGGATACACGCACAATGGAAGAGTATTCAACCTTTAAAAGGAAGAAAATTCTGACGTGGATGAACGTTGAGACATTATACATGACATGAAATAAGCCAGTCACAAAAAGGCAAATATTGTATGACTCCATTTACTAGTATATGAGGTACCTAGAATAGTCAAGTTCATAGAGACAGAGAGTAGAAGGGTGTTTGCCAAGAGCTGGTGGGAATGGGGGATGAAAAGCTAGTGTTTAGTGGCTACAAAGTTTAAGTTTTACAAAACAAAATGAGTTCTGGAGATGGGTTACACAACCATGTGAATGGACTTGACAGCACTGAACTGTACATTTAAAAAACGGTTAAGATGATATGCCTGGCCACTGTGGCTCAGTGGTTGAGGGTTCATCCACAAACTGGGAAATCACAGTTATATTCCGGTCAGGGCACATGCCCTGTATGCAGGCTTGATTCCTAGAAGCAGCCAATTGGTGATTCTCTCCCATCATTGAAGTCTCTGTCTCTCTCTCCCACTCCCTTTCTCTCTGAAATCAATAAAAAAAATATTTTTGAAATGGTTAAAAATGATAAATTCTATGGTATTTGTATTTTACCACAATTACAAACACAAAAATTTCCAAGGTCAAGCTAACTTCACTGATGCGGACAGAGTTTGGCAAAACACTAGTAGAACTGCCCAAGTCTGCTGGAAAGAAACAAAGCCTGGGGAAGAATATCACCTGTCTACCAATGGTCTTGCTCATGTATGAGGCACAGATTGCAGATTATCCCATGTCTCCCCCTCTCCCCACCCTCCCGTTGCTGGGCACTACAGAAACTCTGTTCTTGTCCTCTGGGAGGTCTAGCTACATAATTTGTGGGGGCCCAGTGCAAAACAATAGTTACAAATTATTAAGAATTTCAATTCCCAGTCAGGGCACAGACCTAGGTTGTGGGTTAGATCTGAGGTCCAGGCTCATACCTCTCTCTCTCTCTCTCTCTCTCTCTCTCTCTCTCTCTCTCTCTCTCTCTCTCTCTCTCTCAAAACCAATGCAAATCAGAAAGGATATATGCACCCCTATGTTCATAGCAGCACAATCTACAATAGCCAGAATTTGGAAACAGCCTAGGTGCCCGTCAGCAGATGATTGGATCCAAAAACTATGGTACATCTACACAATGGAATACTATGCTGCCATAAAGAAGAAGGAATTCTCATCATTTGCAGCAACCTGGATGGAATTGGAGAACATCATGCTGAGTGAAATAAGCCAATCAATGAAAGAGAAACACCACATGACCTCACTCATTTGTGGATAATAAAGAGCATTATAAACTGATGAACCAAAAGATAGATATAGAGACAGTAAAGCAACAAGCAGATTGTCAAATTACAGCGGGGAGGGGAGGAGGATCTGGGGGAGATAATAGATCAACCGAAGGACTTGTATACATGCATATAAGTACAACCAATGGACATAAAACTATGGGGAGGGAGGGGATATGGGGGAGGGAGGGAGGGAGGGGGGCAAAAAAAATCATTAAAATATGTAAATAAATAAATTAATTAATTAAAAAAAAAAAAAAAAAAAAACAATGCAAACCCATTCTCAGGTGAGGTTTAAAAAAAAACACCAAAGAATTTCAACTGGCTGGTGTGTCTCAGTGGTTGAGCATTGACCCATGAACCAGGAGGTTACGGTTAGATTTCCAGTCAGGGCACATGCCAAGGTTTAAGGCTCAATTTCCAGTAGGGGGCTTGCAGGAAGCAGCGGATGGATGTTTCTCTTTTATCAGTGTTTCTCTTTCTCAATGTTTCCATCTCTCTATCCTTCTCCCTCTCTCTCTAAAATTAAAAGAAAAAAATTTAAACATATTTTAAAAAAGAAGAATTTCAAGACAGTTAAAAAAAGCATGGGCTGTATGGGACTATAGGCTGTATGCCCATGAGGCCAGCCCTGATTGAACCCCACAGATAAGAACAAATGGCACAGCACAAGACAGTAGTAAACTGGAGTCAGCTCAAGCCAGCTAGTGAGAGCTAGTGTTAGATTTTTTAAATTCTGCAATACAGTTAATATCCTATTAGTAATTGGAAATCAGTATCTCTATCTCTCTGAGGCTGGGGATGGAGAGCAGAGCTGGTGGTTAAACATTTACCAACATACCGATGAACCTGCTGGTAAGGCTTGACGGATTTGATTAATGTCTGAAGCAGAAAGTAGTTCTTTTCCTTTTTGCCCAGCTTCTGCAAAAAAATAAATAAAATAGAAATTATTTGTTTTTCAACAATATCTGGCTATGTTGCTTTTCAGAGTTTGCCTCATCAGCTGGTCAATAGATCCATTCAGCAAGGATCTGTTTTAATAATCTCTTTGTTGGGGAGACTGGGATTGGGAAATCAATGCTGATTGACACATTATTACTAATTTTGAAGACCATGAACCTTCCCATTTTTCCCACGTTAGACCTAAAGTTCAGGCATTTGAACTCCAATAAAGTAATGTTCCATTACAATTGGTCATTGTGAATAGAGTGGGACTTGGTGACCAGATAAACAGAGAAGAGACCTACCAACCAACAGTGACTGCATAGATGCTCATTTTGAGGCCTTGCTCCAAGAAGAACTGGAGATTAAGCATCGTCTCTTGAACTACCTCCCTTCTCAGACTCATGCGGGCCACTGGCTCATCTCACCAACAGGCTACTCTCTGAAGACACTTGATTTCTTTTTTCTTTTTTAATATATTTTATTGACTTTTTACAGAGAGGAATAGAGAGTTAGAAACATCAATGAGAGAGAAACATCAACCAGCTGCCTTTTGCATACCCCTCACTGGGGATGTGCCCACAACCAAGGTGCATGCCCTTGACCAGAATCGAACCTGGAACCCATCAGTCCACAGCGAACACTCTATCCACTGAGCCAAACCAGTGAGGGCTGAAGACACTGGATTTCTTAACCATGAAAAGCCTTGGTGACAAGGTGAGCATGATACCAGTGATTGCCAAGCAGATGCAATTTATAATGCTAAATTACAGGAGGTTAAGATGAAACTCATGTGTGAAGTGGTCAGCAATGGTGCCAGGTATACCGATTGCCGACAGGTGGTGAAGCTATCGCTAAAATCAAGGCTTCAATGAGTGACATTTTCCATTTACTTTTGAAGGAAGTGTGAACATTGAGGAGTAAGAAGGGCTCCTGGCGGCTAATGGGGCTCAAATTTTACAAAAGCAGAACCTGGTGGCCATTTCTTCACAGGGGCCTCTTAAGCAAGTTGTACTTTTCAGAGAAGTTTCTGCATCACCTGCTGACAGTATGTTTCTGCCATCTAGACAAGGTTTCCTGGAATCCTACTACCGTGTTTCCCCGAAAATAAGACATCCTCCGAAAATAAGACCAAGCGCATGGAAAAATAAGACATCTCCTGAAAATAAGATCTAACGCATCTTTGGGAGCAAAAATTAATATAAGACACTGTCTTATTTTCTGGGAAACAGGGTAGAACCAATAGGAAAATTGGGGGACTATATTTTAAAATGTATTATGTACCTGAAATTCTAACCTCTCAATTTTGTAGGACTTTTAAATGTTTGAAATGATTATCTAATTTATAACATGATCCTCTTCCCCCTCTCTGGGCCTTCACCACACTATTGTCCATGTCCATGCATCTATGTTCTTCAGCTAATCCCTTCACTCTGTATCCACTCACTCCCAGCCCCCTCCCTCGGGCACCAGCGAGTCTCTTTCATGTATCCATTTTGTTCATCAGTTTATTTTTTTAAATGCATTTTACTGATTTTTTACAGAGAGGAAGGGAGAGGGATAGAGAGTTAGAAACATCGGTGAGAGAGAAACACCGATCAGCTGTCTCCCGCACACCCCTTACTGGGCATGTACCCACAACCAAGGTACATGCCCTTGATGGGAATCGAACCTGGGACCTTTCAGTACGAAGGCCGATGCTCTATCCACTGAGCCAAACCAGTCAGGGCTTCATCAGTTTATTTTTTTCATTAGATCCCACATATTAGTGAGATCAGCTGGTATTTGTCTTTCTCTGACTGGCTTAGGATCATACTTGCCTGGCCCATCCATGCTGTCAAAGAGGGTAAGATTTCCTGTGTGGTGTTTTTCTTTTGTGTTTGTTGTTGTTGTTGTTGTTGTTTTACAGCCACATAGTATTCCATTGTGTAAATGTACCACAGCTTTATAAAGTGGTAATTAAATATGATATGTACATCAAATGTACTTCTATGGAACCATTAGTAGGAGTGAGCTATGGGAAAGTGTCAGATATATTTGTGAGAATAAAGTAAATTATGGAATATGATTAGCATGATCTTACTTAAATATATACACTAATTTACACACACACACAAGCACACACACACACACAATTGTCTCTATAAAGAAGGAAGGCTACATGAGGAATCTAATGAAAAAACTGAAATGACCAACAAAATAGGACCCCAAGCATGGAGGCATGGAACAGACTGACATATCTCCATGTGGGGGGGGGGGACGAGAAGCAATAAACCAAAAAACTTATATACTAATATGCATAGCCATGGACATGGGCAATAGGGTGGTGAAGACCTGGGGTGAGGGGAGGGGTAATAAGGAGGGCAGTAAAGAGAGGGAAATAGGAGATATCTGTAATGCTATCAACCATAAAAAATATATTTTAAAATATTAAATTAAATTTAAAAAAAAGAAGAAAGGCTACAAAAATATACTCTAAACAGTGTTTATCTCTGGGATATGGGTTGTCAGTGGAGGAAGAAGAGAGGGACTTTTACCTTCTATACTCTGTATTGTTGTCATTATTTAATTTTTATTTAATTTTATTGTAATTATTACACATATTTTATAATAACTTTAAAATACTAAGTCATACCAAGACTCAAGAAAACTGAAGCAGTTATCCTGGTGGTTCGTAAGCAGATACAAATGGCCTTTGGTTCATACTCACTCACAGGGAATCTAAAATCCACACACCTGCTATCTTTTCAGTCCTTTAGTCCTTCATTCTAAATGGCAGAATTAAGCCCCAACTCTTAGGCTGTAGAAAGTCACTATTAAAATGTTAATTGATACGTATAATCTAATAATAAATATACATTTGCTGTCTGCTCCCAAAATCCTTGGAATCACTGATATGTCTTTTATATGCTTAGTACAGTGGTCAGCAAACTCATTAGTCAACAGAGCCAAATAGCAACAGTACAACGATTGAAATTTCTTTTGAGAGCTGAAAACCGAATTCTGTGCATGGGCCACGAAGTTTCATTCGCACTGTACGGGTGTGCCTGCACGTGGTATTTTGTGAAAGAGCCACACTCAAGGGGACAAAGAGCTGCAGGTGGCTCGAGAGCCACTGTTTGCCGACCACTGCTCTAGGTCAAACTTTCACCAAATATTTTGAAACCAGAGAGAAAAATACTAAGAGTTGTCCAGCTGTAGCAGTTAAGCCAATCTGTTTGATCATTAAGAGAGTGAAGCTAAGCAGCCCAATCAAGGCTCAGAAGAACCATGGCTTGACCTGTCGCAAATTCTGGACATTTCCAATAAATTAAGCCAAAACAAGTGGGAAACCCTCTGCACTGCTCAGTACTCCCATGACAGCTGCCTTCGTGTGTGTGTGTGTGTGTGTGTGTGTGTGTGTGTGTGTGTGTTTGTGTGTGTGTGTGTGTGAATGTCCATGTCTTGTTAATGAAATCTGTTCCTTTGACACTCAGGGGTGACATCCTACTTTATAAGCAATGTCATGTACTAGGAGATGACTGGTGATAGGGGCTCCTGGAGAGCCTCAGGATGGGGCCGGTTGCAGGAGAATCTATCATGGGACTGGAGGAACTTACCCTCAGACCTCGAGGAGGGAGAGAGGGGTCAGAGGCCGAATGAACCGTACGGTCCATGATCTCACTGAAGGGAGAGCGCTTCCGGGCTGGTGAACACACAGAGGTGTGGGAGGGTGAACTGCCTGGAGACCTGGGCGCGCCGTGGTCCTCCCCCCGCCTCAACCTAGGTGTCTCTTCCGCGTCGCTGTTCCTTTTCATAATAAAGCAGTAACCGAGCAGGAATGGGGTTTCCAGAGTCCTGGAGCCATTCAAGCCAATTATTGAGCCTGAGGAGGGGATCCTGAGACCCACCGGCTTGTACCCAAATCGGACAGATGCTGTGCGTACTCTGGGGACCCCCTCCCTGTATCATAATTGGCATCTGAAGTGGGGGTGCAGTCTTGGGGGCCTGAGATCTTGGCGAATGGCATTAGGGTCTGCGCTGACTCTGGTTCGTGTCAAAATTGAGTTAAATGAAGGACACACAGTTTGTGTCCACAGAGAATCGTTGGGTCTGGAAAACCCCACACATCTGGGGTCAGAGGGGTTCCCGGGGTGCTGGTGGGCTAGTAGAAGAAAATGCAAGTTTTTCTTTCAACACCCAAAGGAGACCACACAGCAGGTAGCTTGTGGGGTCAAAATTAGAATTCCTCTTATCTAAAGCTCAGTCCTCCAGACTCATGGAGGCACTTACTACATAAAAACTAGAGTTCTGGCCCTACCTGGTTTGGCTCTGTGGATAAAGCATGGGCCTGCAGACTGAAAAGTGCCAGGTTCGATTCCGGTCAAGGGCATGCACCTTGGTTGTGAGCACATCCCCAATAGGAGGTGTGCAGTAGGCAGCTGATCAATGTTTCTCTCTCATCAATGTTTCTAACTCTCTATCCCTCTCCCTTCCTCTCTGTAAAAAAAAAAAAAAAAAAAAAAAAAAAAATCAATAAAATTTTTTTTAAACTAGAGTTCTGCCATCGGCCCTGTGTTTACCTCGTGTCAGGTACATAACAGGAAAATGGCAATGTGATTGGAAAACAAAACCTCAGTGGTCAGAGTTCAGACGAGGATTTCAAATATACTTTCGATATCCACTTCCTGCTTTTTATTTCCTCTTGATACCCTGCTGGTTAGAAGACCTGTATTTTTTTCTTCCTAACTTTTACTTAAATTACACATTCATCCATTGGTGTAGTTGTAATTTGAGAGTTTATCAATTTAACAACAATATATTTTGTTCCAAAGTTCATTTTGTATTTAGAGAATTCTTAGAGAGGTGTTTCCTTTTGGCTACTTTCATTTTCAACCACAGAAATTTGCACACTAGATTGACTCACCGAAGTAAACATGGGTGTGGCATAAAGCCTTCCTTCATATACTCATGAGTTTTTATCTGTAGCTCTTGTTTAACAGTGGAGAAATAGACTCAGAGAAACACAAATTTTCACAAGTCGATATATGGTGAGGCAGCCAGGTTTGATTTCTGCCCTGTGCTATTACCTCTATACCAAAGCAATCCTACCTTTACAAAACAGAAAGGTAGAATAATATATTTCTTCTCTGAGAGTGATTTCTGAGAGTACCATAGGAACAATTTCATGACTCTCCTCTCTGACAAACATATACATAGCAACATGTATTGAATGCTTTATTCTGTGCCAGACACGTGTTACATAGGAACTATAAAATGCATAGCTTCAAGTCCTAGCAGGTTTGGCTCAGTGGATAGAGTGTCAGCCCTTGGACTGAAGGGTCCCGGGTTTGATTCCCCATCAAGGGTTAGTATTTGGCTTACAAGCTTGACCTCTGGCGCTGGTAGGGGCACATGTGGGAGGCAAACAATCAATGTGTCTCTCTCACATCAATGTTTCTATCTCTGTCTCTCCCCCTCCCTCACTCTCTCTAAAAATCAATGGGAAAAATATTCTCAGATGAGGATTAGCAATGAATAAATTAATTAAAATACAATAAAACTCATATCTTCAAGAAAAACCATGAGGTGAGTACTATCATTACCCCATTTTATAGATAGGGAAAGTGAGGTGTAAAAATGGTAAGGAAGGGGCCACTGCACCACTAATAAATGGTGCCCTGGCATTCTGACTCCATAGCATAAGCTTTGTGCTGTCCTGCCTCCCTTTTTGTTATTTCGTTCTAATTGACTTCCTATACTCTCACTGCCACATAAGAATAAGAAGATATTTGTCTAAAACTACTTTCTCTCACTAGAATTCAAGTTCCCAAGTGGAGCTTCTAAACCTGTGTTGAGCACAAAGTGTGCACTCAATCAATGAGTTGAATGAATGAGCTCAGGAGAGTTCTGGCTTTCCCAGAGAATATTATCAGACTGATAACATCATACGTGACCAGATCATTGAAGAATTCCCATGGTCTGATGCAAGCAAGGAAGCATACGTTAGTTACCTTTCTCTTTTTTATATTTGTCTGTCTTTCTCACAAGATGAGGTAAGACATTTTTGCAGAGATCCTCCAGCAACGTCAGATCATCTGCATCTATTTTAGCTTGTTTCTCCAGATGTCCCAGGAAACTTAGCGAGGTCTGCAAAGAGAATCAATGAAGTCACATTTACTTGCCTATCGATTATCTGTTCATACACTGAACACTGCCTACATGGCCACGAGGCATCAGGTTTTGCATTGATGAATAAGGTAGGTTGTTTATCCCAGAGTAGCTCAACAGTGTGGGGAAAGAGGTATTACCAAGTAAGTCTCTATGCAATCTGTATTAATATCAAAAGCCAGTATACTAGTATATATGGTGTCCCCCCAAAAGGTATACACATCGTGTTTGTAATTTCGATTGCATTTTGAAAATGAAATATATTTTAATAAACACTGCCTTTTTTAATTATTCAAAGTGTGTATATGTTTTGGGGGACACCCTGAATACTATCTGCCATTCAGTGCTTGCCATCTACGGTATGAACTGCAAAAACAACTCAGTGAGGTAGATACTACTATAATCTCCATTTTAAAAAACGAAACGAGGGGGGGGGGCAAAAAAATAAATAAATAAAAATAAAATAAAAAACGAAACAGGTTTGGCTTAGTGGATAGAGTGTCGGCCTGCGGACTGAAAAGTCCCAGGTTCGATTCTGGTCAAGGGCATGTAGATACCTTGGTTGCGGGCATAACCCTAGTAGGGGGTGTGCAGGAGGCAGCTGATAGATGATTCTCTCTCATTGATGTTTCTAACTCTCTATCCCTCTCTCTTCCTCTCTGTGAAAAATCAATAAATATATATATTTAAAAAAAATGGAGTGGAGTGGAGAAAGAGTGTGTTCCTTTCAAGCAGTTTGGCAGTAGAGAGAAGGAGGAAGTTAGAACAGTAATATAAGGATGAGGATGTGTTCATTGGAGGGTGTGTGTATATGTGTGATGCAGTCTAAGAAGTACTAGTATGGAAACTCACCTAGGTTTACATACAAGAACTTAATAAGGCCACATTATCTGCAATTGCAATTGCAAAAACATTCGATCTGAGAAATAAATTCTTTACCGGATAGTGGAACACAAATGACCTTTGTAGGGTATTCTAGGTTTCCACACATACATGTTTAATTGTAGAAAGAGAACTAAATGAAGATTAAAAGAAGGTATAAACATAAAATAAATAAAAATGTTAAAGAAGATTGTGTAGTATATACACATATGGCCTTATATTCTAACAATGTAGATATATTGCAACAAAAAAAGGGGGGGAGATAATAGGTATAGTACATGCAAAGTAAAATTTCAACTGTTGTAAATAATCACACTGAATTCACGTAAAAATGACACAGGAACCAACCTGAAGAGACTACTACTGGGCAAAAATGGGACAATGTGAACTTCAATGAGGATAATAACTGAAAGCCATCAAATATGTTTAAATCTTTGAATTCAGATTTGTTCTTAATAATGGGTCACTTTCAGAGAATTACAGGAAACCAAGCAGTCATCATAAACACTGGGTAAATAAAAGAATCTAGGATTTACATATAAACTTTATCACCAGGTAACCAAATAGACAAGGGGGAAACAAGTTACAGAATTCAAAAATCCCATTTTGCAACCCCCAAAGAATCAATATATAAAACTGTTAAACATCAATAGTTGCTAATATCAAAAAAGAGAGACCCTGGCCAGTGTGGATCAGCTGGTTGGAGTGCTGTCCTGTACACAAAGAGGTGGCAGGGGTAGGTTGCATCGCAAGGTTCTGGGGAAATAATGATGAGTAGACTCAGCCCACCCCCAAGGAACTCATAACCAATCTTTGGGAGACCGGGACCTCTAGAGATGACCAATCAAAGGATCCAAAAGGCTTAAATCCCCGAGGGCTCTGAAAAGGGGGGAAGGGAGGAAAGGACTCAAAGATTACGACCACAACAGAGAAATAACCTGCTCAGGTCTATAGGTCTGACACCAAGAAACATGTTTAATGAATTGCTAGCATGGTCTTCACGTGACCTACCACATGTAACACAGCTTCCCATTCCTTAGTTGTTTTTTAAGTTACTCAATAGCAATTACTCAGAGGGAATGTGTCATGGCGGCTGCACATGAAGGCTCAGAGAACTGGTGAGGTTCCCATTCGTAAGCTGAATGGGGAAGCTAATGGCTGTTCACCTAGTGCTGCATTCCATAACTTCCATGTGCCACATGTGTTTTTGTATGTTATGAAATGCTATACAACTTAGAATCTAATTAAAGTAGCGGTTAAATAACACAATTGAAGTCATGTTACAGGGTAAAGTTCGAAAATTGGTCCCTTCAGAAATTAACTAACTTGCTTGCCACCAGCTGCTATTGGAGTCAAAAGAGAAAATATGAAGTGTTGAGGCCCATAAGAGAGACATGCAGCTACTTCTCTGCCAATATAGCAAGAATATTAGCAAAGGTGACCAATACAGTAAGATTAGCAAAGAGCGTTATATTAACATCACAAGCATTACTATCAGTTCAAAGCACATCTTCAAACTGTTTCATTTGATATCCGGAGAAACCTTACATGGGAAAGGACCCACAGCTCCCTCAGACACCTTGATCAGTGTAGGTGATGAGCGATGAGTCCCACTCTGCCTTTATTTCCCACCTCCTCATTTCCTGGCTGTGCCCTGGACATTTCTGTATCATAAGACATAGTGGATGTCAGTAGCAGGTAATCACTCACTGCACGGTTCCTGTTTGTCAAACCCAGGCCCGATGCTAATGCCTCATGTACCTTGTTTTCTTGAATCCCCCTAACCGTGCTGGAAGGAGCTGGCATGGTACGTGAAAAAATGGAGACTCAGAAATCTCCGATCACTCGCCTCCCATATGGAGAAACTGGTCGCAGAACCAGCACTCAAATCCAGGCCCCAACGTCGATATTCCTAACCTTTGATTGATATTGTCTCCCGCGAAAAGTAAACCACCTTGAAAGCCTTCCCAGCATCTTCCCAAACACGGATTAAAGCGATGCTCACAAAGACCCCACTCTGTATGGCCCACTCACCGGCGTCTCGACTTTGGGTAAGGACTCCTTCAGAATGAAGATCATGTTCTTCAAGCTCTCTGAGTCGATGTCTTCTGAGAGTTCATAGAGCAGGTTTCTAAGACACACACCCGAAGAGACTAATGAAGCCTCACGTGCAGGGCACCGCACTGTGAATCGAGTACATCTACCGAGGTTCTGTCTCGGGTACGCGACCACAGCCCTGTGATTAGTCCCACTTTACAGATTTGAAAACTAAAACTTTGAGCTTCCAAGCGGCCTCTTAAATTAACACCGTAAACAGTGGGGACAGGCCTTCTGGTCCCAAGGCCAGTGCCAGGAAAGCATAGAACACAATTCTATGGGGACAGGCCTTCCATCTCCCAACTCCATTGGAGGAATTCCGGGTTCCTCTATAAGCCCGTGTCACAGAGAACCTGATGCCGGGCAATGTCAAGTCCACTCTTGAAAAAGAAAGGACAATGCCCAGGCTTCTGGGGAGTCGTATCGTGAATCACCAGAAAAACTGAGCCTTTCGCTCACACACGGGTGCCTCTGCACGCCAGGGACCAGCCCTCGGTTGCTGAACAGCAGAGTGGGAGTAACGATTTCCTGCATTCCCGTGCTGAGCCGAGGGGAGCTCAAGGTCAACTGAAGGACACAAGCACCCAGGCGATTCATAAGGCAGCACTTCGAAGGCTCCTCCTTGTGAGGGGCTCGGCAGCTACCATGTCAGGGGACAATGTAAAAACAGTGGTGTCCAAGGTCTGACCATGATAGGCCTGCTTACTAGTATTATGCACCGTTTTTCTTCTCAAATCACTGGATACAGGCAGACACACCCAGAAGAGAGGACTGTCTGGGGGCGCGGAGACTGGGAAGGAGAAAAGCCTGGGCCGGCTGTGCTGGGGTGGGCTCCCCTTGGCGGTAAGATACAAAGCTGAGGAAAGCCACTGCCAGGCCCTGAGAACCCCAGCCTTTTGCCTTTCCAGTACCTGAGGAATCTCCTAGCATTGCTAGATCAGTGACACCCAAGGAGGTGGATGAGAAAGAGACCTAAGAGATCTTAATCCCAGTCTCCTTTCTTTCTTCTTTATTGTTGAAAGTATTACATAGGCCCTCATTTTTCCCCACTAACATCTTCCAGCCCCTTCCCCTGCCCCTTAGGCCCTCATCACCCCATTGTCTGTGTCCACGGGTTAGGCATACATGCATACAAGTTCTTTGGTTGCTTCCTACTCCGACCCCCGCCTTCCCACTGAGGTTCATGCTTCTATGTCTCTGGGTCTATTTTTGATCACCAGTGTATTTGGTTCATTAGATTCCACATATGAGTGAGATCCTGAAAACCCAGTCTCCTTTCAAGGCCCGGTGGCCTGAAGGACCCCTAACTAGAAGCCCATTCTGCCTTGATGGCAGTCCCCTCCTCACCTGAATGGGGACACCTTCTTCCGGGTGGGCAGCAGGACTTTCACTTGCTCTTTGGTGTAGTTGAGGTGCTTCAGCAGCGAATTCTGTTTCATGATGTAGAGCAGTTCCGCCAGGAGGAAGGGGTCTTTCTCATTCAGCAGGTCCTCGGTCATGAGATCCTCAAAAATATCCAAGGCCGAGCGGGCCTTCTCCAGCTTCCTGTAGGGGATGAAGTCTCGGCAGAGAAACTTTAATTTTTCCACCTCTGTGTCTTCAAGGTTTGAATCTATATTCAGAAGCCTTTTGCGAAACTTCTCCCTATCATTATCCTCCAGACTGGGACTCCAACTCTGAACGCCAGATGACATGGCTAGTCTGGAAGAGACAGAGAGATGGGGTAGCCCATGAGGGAGGAGGGACATGGGGCACCTCGCCTTCCCAGGCCCTCTCCCGCCGTCAGCCTCCTCCCTTCCAGGCATTAGACTTTCCTGGAAGTGCTGAAACGTAAAAATTAACTAACATGAAAATGATTGCACAGTTATTTCAAAAACCAACAGACAACACTTGTCTGTGAACCCTTTGGGAGGTCTGCAGGGAACTTTTGGGAACGCATGTACTCTGATTCTCTGAAATCAAATGACCCTGTAGAGCGAGTGACAGGGACAACTCAGCACAACCGTTCCTATTGGAGTTCATCTTCCGGTTGGAGCACTTCTATGCTTAAATTTATTTTTAATTTGTTGATTTTGAGAGAGAGAAACATCAACCCGTTGTTCCACATACTTATGCATTCATCTGTTGATTCTTGAGTGTGCCCTGACTGGAAATGGGCACCAGAAGCCTCGGTGTACGACGTACACTGAGCTAGCCTAGGTCTGGTTGGAACTCTTAAGTTATTGCCATCAAATGGCAGAATTAGCACTGGATTTATGCCCCATATTTTAGAAATAAAGCAACTGGGGGTGGAGGTTATATTTCTGAAGTGCTTACCAACTCAAGGATAGCAAGGGAATATTACTAACCATAACAGGACCAGTTTGAAACCCACAGAAAGAGCGGCCATAATCCTAGATCCCAGACATACAGGGAGGTTTTAGACAAGGGTGGCTCAAATCAATATAGAAAGTCACAAAGTAACTAAGTCAAGATTTCCACATAACTAGTTCATAAACTGGTCCTTTCTACACTAAATTTCATACGAATAAGAGGATCGATAAGTTGATAACATTTTTCAATGTAATATTATTCATAATATAAGGACAAGGTATATATCCACTATGCAACACTTGGGTATTTAGAAAGAGAATAAACTACTTTCTAAAGGAAAGAGAACATAGCAAAAATGAAACATCAATAACAAAGAGTGGTTATATCTAGATGGTATAATTTCATAAAATACAAATTTTCTTCTGGACTCCTGTGTGAGTTTCTCAAATCTTATGCAATACACACTATTACTTTTATTATTAGAAAAAGGAAACCAAAAAATGGGATCATCCATGGGATGTTACTATTCTAACACATTAAACATTTGCCTTGAAGTTTCCTAAAGTTCTTAAACCTCTAGCTTCCTGTTAGGAGACTAGGGTATTTCTTCCGGTAAAAGGCTGTGTCGAAGCCTTCCTAGGGCTTTTTAAACATTCACTTTCCCTGGGAAGGCTAATAAATCCAGGCAGAAATAGTGCCATTGATGAAAACAAGAGTTTTTGCAAGTTTCAGAAAGCAAGGGGGAAATGCTGGAGTGTAAGACCCCTCCTGTCGCAGGAAAAAGGTGTTAATTACATACCTTCAGATCAGAGTCCACGGATCCTCTGGAAGTAAGTGGTTCTTGGGGAAATTATCTGAAAACAAAGTTTTAAAGGAATTAGGATCCTCTCTGTGCTCCAAGTTTCAAGAAAACATCTATTTACAAGGGAGGAAAACTTCAGACTTGCTGCTGAGTTTGAATACTTACAATGAATACTGGCCCGCCCCTCAGGTTTAATGTTAATTTCCTCTGATGTCATCGCTGCGCCTGCCCCCTTGCCTTTTGCTGGTGTTAGGATACTCTTGATCAATAGCACCTCCTAAAGGCAGATACAAAAAAAAGGCAGATACACACTGTAGAGCTCAAGATTTAAGTGTTCCAGCCATTTTTATTTTTTATGTCTTAAAAAAAAAATGTCCATTTTTCCAACCTCCTCCTTCCCCAAATTCACTTAAGCTTTAAAATAAAACCCAGAATCTCATGAATAGTAGTCACCCATCTTAATCTTTTCTCAACAACTCCATTTACAAATTAACAAGCAAAAAATGTTTTTAAGCAAAAAGGAAGAAGAAAAAGAAGGAAGCGGAGGAGGAGGAGCTGAGAGATACGCCAATTTGAGGTATTTGCAAAGAAGACAAATAACAGTAGACAAAACCTATGCAGTCTCTGCCCTCACAGCACATTTAGTCCAGCAGGAAAGAGAATTTGAAGACATTATTTCTAAGAATGAAAACAATACCTAACACATCACAATTACTATGTCAGGCATGCTTTCTTCACCAAATCACCCAATGACCCCTTCTTTAAGGCGTGAAAACTAAGACACAGAAAGATCAGGTAATTTGCCCAAGGTCATACATAGAGCTAGTGGGAAACCCAAAACTCAAACCAGCAAATTTGGCTCTAAATCACTACAGGATAATTGGAATGTTGCCAACTTCAGGGAAGAAGTCCAGAATCTTAGAAAGATACTTTATCTCTGAAAATAAGTAAGATTTATTATGCTGTACTAGCAAATTTTAAACTGCCATTTCCAGATCCTGGGCATCATCTAGAGAACTTCTGGGTTTAAGAAAGATAAGTCCTGCCCTAGCCAGTTTGGCTCAGTGGATAGTTCACTGGCCTGAGGACAAAGGGTCGGTCCCAGGTTCAATTCCAGTCATGGGCTTGTATTTAGTTGTGGGCTTCTTCCCGCCCCAGACCCTGGTCCGGACTCCTGTGGGAGGCAACCAACCAATGTGTTTCTTTGACATTGATGTTTCTCTCTTTCCCTCTCTCTAAGAATCAATGGGAAAATATCCTCAGGTAAATATTTTAAATAAGAAGAAAAAGAAAAGAAAGATGAGTCCTAGCGGTGATGTCATTCAACCGGTAAATGTATTTAATACCACTAAAGTGCACCCTTAAAAATGGTTCAAATGGAGCTTCCAGTCAAGATGGCTGCAATGGTAAATGCGGTATTCGCACCCTCCCACAACCTCATCACTTTCCCAATAGTGACAGCTTCCTTCCCAGGCCCCCAAATTAGTCATCAGGCCCCAAATAACGAAGGCAGGGTTGAATCATTTTAGGCCTTTAATAATGTTTTGGTGACTCCACTGGGATACCCTCTCCGAGCCCTAAGGTAAGACACTTCGGGATTTGACAATTTTGGGGACTAATAAGCCCCTTAAGGGATGTAAATGAAATGGCCAAAAGAGCAAAGGTTTATTTCAAAACTTTTGTCCCTCAGTTCCAGGAGGCAGCATTTGCCAATGGAAAGCTCTAGGAAATGACAGGGAGGACTTATAATCTAACTGGAGGTCTGGTACACAGGTAAGGGTCCCTAGGCCTGGCCTGCAATCAGGGCCAACCTATGGGAAGACCAGCAGGGTGATGGGGGGAGGGAGGAGGAGCCTCTGGCACCCACCTTGGCTGGTCTGGGGCCTGAGACTGGGAGCAGCTCCTGTGTTGAGCGTCTGCCCCCTGGAGGTCAGTGTGCATCATAGCGACCAGTCATTCCACCGCCATTCCACCATTCATGGATTTGCACATTAGGCTTTTATTTTATAGAATAGACAGAGCACCTGAATTAATCTGAAAAGTAATCATATTATTTTAAATCTTAGAACACATAGACTTATGTGAATAGGGGTTAAATTTCCTTTTCAAAGGAAAAGGGTGCAAAGCAATTGAGGAGGTGACTCAGCTGTGAATCCAGCAAGCAGAAATGATAAGCATAGTCAGACGACCCACCAGGAGTCAAGACATCATCTCATCAACATCATCTCATCACCTGGTGACTAATTACAATAGCTGATGGCTTCAGACCCCCAGGCCTGCACATAGCACCCCATTCTCTTCCCCTTTATAATCCTGTCCCCTGCACCTGGCTAGAAGGCAGTATTTGATGCTTGTAAATGCCCTGTCTTCTTGGTTGGCTAGCCTTCTCGTTAAACACCTAAAATGATTCAACCCTGCCTTCCTTATTGGGCACAGCAACAGGCAGCCTGAGTCCAACTGGGGGTTTCCCGGTTACATGTTTTGGTGACTCCACTGGGACACCCTCTCCAAGCCCTAAGGTAAGACACTTCGGGATTTGACAAAGGACTCGGGGTGGATGCCTGGACTTGAGAAACTTCTTACAGACACCTCAGTAAACTCTCCAGCAGCTGCCAAGTTATTTAACTCGAGGACTTTCCTTAAGTGCTTACGAACTTTGCCAGCTGCCTTCGCTATTGGTTGAATCAGCACTTGTTATTTGTAAGTCTCCATCGCTGTAAGACTGGCATATTGAAGGTACCTCTGTTTCTGTTTTTGTTTCGGTTTGTGGGTGTTCGCTAGCAACCCCAGCTGGCAGCCTTCTGGGCCACATTCTGGCTGTAAGTCCCACATTCTGGCTGTGAGTCCCACATTCTGGCTGTGAGTCCCACATTCTGGCTGTGACTCCTGAGCACAGTAAGACATCTTCTGAAAGGTCCCTGGAAAGGACTCTGATTCATTAACCCTTGTCTGAGGGTTATGTGCACCTGTAAATATTGTATATAAGAGTGTCTCTGTTGATTGTTGTTTGTGTCTCTTTGTCGTTTGGTTTCTAGTGATAGTTCTTGTCTCCCTGTCTGTAATGGAAGGATTCTACTGAGAAAGAAAAATGTGGGAAAGAGTCCTTTAACCTCCCCAAGTACTTATCCTAGAGGGCTGGAGTTGCGGAAGCGCCCTTGAATAGGCTGCAGAAGCAGCAGCAACGGGGTGAGCGGGCACTCTCCTTGTAAAGGAAAAAAATCGGTACTTTCTTACTCTGACGCCGTTGGAGGCCCAGGAGTTGCTACAGTCCAGGAACAAACCCCGGGCCGGCCATCTCCCCACACACACAGTCACTTTCCAGCCTCCTAAGGGCTGTCAAGATTTATCTCTGTTGTACTTCTTAATATGTGAGTACCCTGTTTCCCCGAAAATAAGACAGTGTCTTATATTAATTTTTGCTCCCAAAGATGCAGTAGTTCTTATTTTCAGGGGATGTCTTATTTTTCCATGAAGAAGAATATGGTACACATTTATTGTTAAATGAAAATAAAGGAAATGTATTACCTGTATACGGTACGGTAGGACTGTAGTTGTCAACACAAACCAGACAAACTGTGAATCCTACAGTATCAAGAATTTACTCATTTATTCAATGACAATCATGTCATCATCTTCTGGAACATCATCATAACAATCCAATTCCTGAATTTCCTGGTGAATTTCTTGTGACTCCATTTCTTTCAGAATCAGTGGACCAAATCTCTCATGTTTAGCCTGGGGGGGGGGGGGGCTTATTTTTGGGGGGATGCCTTATATTTCACTCAGAAGGAAACCTGTAAGTAGGTCTTATTTTTAGAGGATGTCTTATTTTGGGGGAAACACGGTATATTTTCCATGGGAAAATTAAGCCTATTTTTGAAATCAGCTCATCAACATCATCTCATTGCCTGATGACTAATTACAATAGCTGATGTCTGCGAACCCCCTGGCCTGCACGTAGTTGCATTTCTGGGGAGGGTGGGAGAAATTTTTCCTATATTTGCCTAGGAAGCAAAGGTTTTATACGTATTACTAGAGGTCTGGTGCACAAAATTCATGCACAGGGGTGTGTGTCCCTCAGCCCGGCCTGCACTCATCTCCTCGACTGCCTGGATCGGGCCTAAACGGGCAGTCAGACATCCCTCTCACAATCCAGGACTGATTGCCCCTAACTGCTTCTGCCTGCCAGCCTGATTACCCCCTAACCACTCCCCTGACAGTCTGATTGATGCCTAACTGCTCCCCTGCCAGTCTGGTCACCCCTAATTGCCCTCCCCTGCAGGCCTGGTCGCACCCCAAGTCCCCTCCTCTGCCAACTGCCCTCCCTTGCAGGCCTGGTCTCTCCCAACTGCCCTCCCCTGCTGGCCATCTTGTGGTGCCCATCTTGTGTCCACATGGGGGCAGTCATCTTTGACCACATGGGGGCAGCCATCATATGTGTTTGAGTGATGGTCAATATGCATATTACTCTTTCATTTTGTAGGATTAAAATGGTTATGTTAGTCAGGAACTTGATTACTTAAAAGCCTATCGCCTTAATCATAAGAATTGAAGTTTTACTAGCTTATGTGGTATTTAATAATAAATTATTCAATACTGTTAAATAATAATATATAATCTTTTAGTCTAATATATTTGACTACCTTCTCAGGGTTTGAATTTTAAGAAACTTTTCCTTGACCTAGAATTGTCTTTAGGTCATTCCAATGGGCCCTGGAATATCTCAAGGATTTTCTTTCTCTCTTCATGAAGGAAAATTTTATCCTTAAGGTATATGGGAAGCTCTGTCAAATAAGGAAATAAAAATTATATTCTATTTATATGTGCATATTAAATAGGTTCTGATATGCTTAGAATATTGTGTGTTACAGGACAAGATTCCATGTCATTTGCATTATAATCAAATCAATAACCATATGATTTTAAATTTCTTGTCATTGGAGACAGTCACTGTTTTGTTATGATGCATTAGGAAAAATGTTACATCTTCTGAGGGATCCATAGAAAAGACTCTGATTTATTTTAAACTACATATCTTTGAGAATAAACTTTTAGATCATCCCCTTGAATTGGATAAAAATTATTAGAATTCTATAGAATATCTGGATTTATAGAAATACTGGCAAAAAAAATCAGGAGAAACAGAATGTGATTATAGAACTGAATGAGCTAAAAATAATTATGTTTACT